ATCTAATGTAATGTGATGGGGTATCAACTTATAGCTGGTTGGCATTTCAATTATTCATTCAGTGCATCATTTATAAGAACATATTAGAGAGGGGGTTGTTGGGCGTTTCAATGGTGAACCTCTATAAGTGGAACACTTTTAGAGACATTAAAGGTGTTCAACTCATACAGCATTACTGTTGAACACTTCTATAAGTGGAGCACCTTTATAAGTGGAACACTTTTCTGAGTCTAATGACCCAATAACTTGATGTTAATTGAACCTTTATAAGTTGAACACCTTCTTAGTAGAACTTTTTTTGCAGAACCACTCACACTGGTTTTACTGTACACGGCTTTTGCCTTGACATTATCTATAAACGTATGTTTGGTAGAACCTTTCCCCAGTCATTGGAGATCCTCCCTATGTCATTTAAATTAATAGGGAGGCGAAAGCTTTCACTTCTGACTCAATGGTAGCCTTTAACTCTAAGGTGTTTGAAATGCCATCATCGTGTACCGATTTTCTTTACCACTTATTATCTCATTTTGCTTTGCATCAAATCTGCACTCAAGCAAACATTTAATTTAAAATAAGCCACCTTTGAGAGATGTTACAAATGCATATAGATTAGATTTCCTCCCTCAGGACACTGTTGAATGGTAGACAAGATTGACATCTTGAATCTGAATGAAATATAGTCTAGCTTATTTCAAGTTCATTTTAGAGCGCTAAAACTATGACTTTCCTTGCTATTAGGCCATCAATTTCAAATGATGTGGTGTTAAACTTTGTCACTAACTAAGATTGGGTGTTAAAAAAACTATCAGATCAAATATTTTCTAAACAACTATAAATCAAATGAGACTAAAAGGGAACCTCCTGATTTGACCATTTATAAGGTTAAAACTAACCCATAACTTGGAATGAAATACATATATGGCACTCTAATTGAGCTTCAGTCTGATCGAAACCACCTTGATTGGTAATTTTTTTATAATTTTGTCAAATGATGACATTCAATCAGTTCTAAGTATGGAAAAAAAATTAGGATTTTGTTTCAAGGTCAAAACATTGTTGCTTTGATCTTTTTGCAAAATTAATATCGCATCTAGCCGATTTCATTGTATCATCTAAATGTGAACTACAAATCCTGATACGAAATCTGAGACATATATTCGACTTTAAGATTCCTCTTGTATTGCGTAATAGACAGATATCATATATAACATGACAAGGAACAATAAAGCTATTTATTTCCATGACAAGAATCGGAAAACACTACATACTCAACATTCAAGTGTTGTGAATGAACTCATTTGGCTTATTACTAGAATAACATAACCTATACAAACTATTAAGTAAGGCAACCATTTTTTTTATAAAAAACTTATGTATTAATTCCCTATTTTGACAAACTTAATTTTTAGACTGATTGAGTTAATAAGTGATGAGGGTGTTTCTTAATATTTTACTTAATTTTTAATAATAATCCTGGATTATGAGGACTTTTGTATTATAAAACATTTATACATCACAGTTTATAAATGGAACTTCCTTTCAGTTCTTCCACTTAGTATTCCAAGCCAGCCTCATGAGTGCTTTTATCAAGTTACTTCGGATATCAGATAAAATTAGACCTAGTAAATTACCATTTAATAGATTTATATGTGCATTTTAGCATAAATTCTCAAATTAATAAGAATTTATGAGATCTAGTTCACCTATATTGAATGAACTCATCAGGCTGGTTAGCACATCAGTATATTAAAATGACCCCACTGACAATAACTCATATAAAAATGACAAACTGACAAAATGTCTCAGTAGCACTCTACTATACCTTGCATTTGGTGTTCATGAGCAACCCATTTTGCTTATTAGTAATGATTATGTTATTTGTTTTCATGTGTCCGTTCCTTATGAATGGTTTATCGGATGACTGTTAGGCGGTAATAAGGTACTTTCAAAAATATACTAAACAATACAATTAGACAAATAGAGTATCTTATGCATTTCTAGAGGTTAGGTATAGTAGAGTGAGTAGGCATGTTACACACAGCTACCAGTTTCCTGTTGCCGGACAGAATTTGCCATACTAGATAGACAGAGCATTTACTGAATAAATGTCACAACCTAGAAAATGTGACAAATTGTTACAGATGCTGTCAATTGCGAATAGAAATCACCACTTACAAAAAATACAGTAACAATTGCTGCGATACTTACATCAACTGGCAACAGAAATCACCGCTACGGAAAATATTTGAAATAACAATATCTAGGCACTTGTAAAAAATATACAGTATCAATATCTAGGCCCTCTAGAAAAATCATACTGCCCATAGAATATAACCCACTGACAATCCGTCCCAGTAAATAATAACCATATGTCACTTACCTATGGCGGTGACATAAAACGAATTGGAAAATAAATTTACGATAAGATCCGATCAAGCTAAGGTGACCTTTCCTGTCTCGTGAAATACCATTTCTGAAGATTATATTTAAGATATCTTCCTCCATGTGTGAATATTGACAGACACTTTTGAACTAATGGCCTATCATCATATCATTCCTTTTAAGCTAATTTTCTCGGAATATTGTAATTGGGGTGAATATTGAAAATAATCTTTTGCACCTCGTGGTTCACATCTGTGTAAATTGCTCAACAGACACTCAAAAATCTCCATTTAGTTAACACAGAGCAGCACTTACTTCTAGTGAACTGTTAAAGAGAACACATTTTCATGGAGAACATATCTTTATGAAAATTACCTTTTTGGAGAGAACACCTCTTAACAGTTAACACCTCTTTATAGAAAATAGAAAACACCTTTTTATAGACAGCATTGACTTCTAGTAAAACTGTTAAAGAGAACACATTTTCATGGAGAACATATCTTTATGAAGATTACCTTTTTGGAGAGAACACCTCTTAACAGTTAACACCTCTTTATAGAAAATAGAAAACACCTTTTTATAGACAGCATTGGCTTCTAGTAAAACTGTTAAAGAGAACACATTTTCATGGAGAACATATCTTTATGAAGATTACCTTTTTGGAGAGAACACCTCTTAACAGTTAACACCTCTTTATAGAAAATAGAAAACACCCTTTCATAGAAAATAGGTTTTTATGATGAACACCTTTATATAGAGAGTACTGCTTTATAGTGAACACCTTTTTACATAGATTACCACTTTAAAGAGATCTATTTTCAGAGAACAGTCATCTTTATACAATAAACGCCTCTTTAAAGTGAGTCTCTCTAAACAATAAGCATCTCTTTATAGAAAATACCTCTTTATAGGGAAAACATCTTAAGAGTAAATAACTTTCTAGAGAGCACATGCTTCTTATAGTGAACATTCTTTTATAAATATACCTCATTATAGTGAACATTCTTTTATAAATATACCTCATTATAGTGAACATTCTTTTACAAATATACCTCATTATAGTGAACATTCTTTTATAAATATACCTCATTATAGTGAACATTTCTTCTTAATGAACCTCTTAATAACTATTCTGTATACTGCAGGCATCATTATTTATGTGGGGGTAAATTTTAGCGCCTTTTATAAATTTGTTAATTTTGTGTGTTTATATTTTCGCGCTGATTGGAATTGGATATCCCTTTGCCAGCTATTTGTATGTGAAGTGACACAAGGCAACGTCAAGTGCCATCTGTATAAACAAAATAAATAAACTTTGGAAAAATCGCCATATATTCGCAAAGCATCTCGGGAGTTCTCATATCATGAACATGATGAACATTAGGCCTCGATGAGCTAGATACAATATTATCCTTATATGTCTTAGAATAGGGTTTAATTATAACAGTAGTAAGAGCTATTGCATGTATAGCGAACATAATTGTTTCAAAATATATCTCGCTAGATATACTTAAATCTTTGTTTAAGTCAATAAAATATGTTTGAAGTATCTGATATTTTTGTATTTTTACATAATTTAAATCATGGACGTATATCTGATTCAACAAATTCTCACGAATTTCGCTTGCTTTTACTTTATTTCCTACATTATATTAAAATAACCGTGTTATTTTACTCATAGCTCAAAGAGCAGAATTATATTTCCTAATCACACGTCTTTTCTGTAGCTATCTCTAGAGAAACATTATTTCACATAAAACTAAGAAGCTCTATCATTATCTCACAGAGAATACGCTTTTAATTGCAACATATTAGAAAAAGGGAGGAAACTGCGATGATTCAAATGATTAGACATGTAGCTTTATACCTGAGGGATAGATAAATGTAATGAACTGAAATACTTTTCTGAAATACTGTTCGATATTGAGAAAGAAATATCAAGATCTTGGAATATTTCTTAAGGGATTATTGGATATTGAAGCCTGGGAATAAAACCTAGAAATAGTCATGCTCTTTCTTGTCATGTTTTGAAATATCTGAGTAATAAGGAGTGAATAAAATTTAAAACCATGAAATGCTTACATTAAATTGTATAAAAATATCAAACACGTTCAGAATTTATTCTAATTAAAGAGATAAAATAGAGAAATTGAGTAACATCTGGCAATTCTTCATGAGCGGATGTGATATAAATTGATTGTGTCTTTGTAACTGCTTTGTATTTTCAGGAATCGACTGACAAACACAGAGATGTCAACAGGCTAATGGCACGCAGAGTCTAATATTGGCAGACGGATTCTAAACAATTGTGATATGCTTGGATTATACAAAGGATATTAGATTCTTTCGGATGTACTGTCCATGCTTACATACATGTGTTAATAGAAAAGGAAATTAGAAGTGTTGTATAATCATACAAAATTGTGATTGCTTCTGGAGTTATTACTTAAGTATAATTAAACCGGCGACAAACAATGAGAGAAACGTCGCAATAACATTATCAGTATATGAATCAACAATATCATGTGATGGATATAATATGTCTATCTATATATAAATAAGAGCACCTATTAGGCACCGAGGACTGTTCCACTAGAATGAAACACAGATCTGGACGGCAGTTTCAATGGATTAAATAAACGAATCAAGCCATGTGCATATTTAGCAGGCGTAAATGTATGATTTTTGCAACACAATTACATGGATTAATTTTCTAGTTAAATGATATACAAATGAATATTGAAATCTCATAATTGATCATAATACATTCATATCAAATGCTTTGACATATGGCACGTGAAACTGGGATATATTAGCCATATTAAGTGTACGACAAATACAGGAAATTAACAGAACTCATAAAATGGAGTCTGGTAATAGAACAGGACTAAATAACGCTACGACGGATAATAATTTTGAAATGACATCTGACGATACAAGTATTTACCTATTTGTAGTGATACTTGTTGGTGCGATACTTTTACTAACAACGATTGTTGGGTTACTGAACAATGTCACATTTGTCGCATCTATGTTCTTTTACAAGCGAACCAAAAAGTTAAAATACTCATTGTTGATTAGTATAGCATTTGCCGATATCATTCTTTGCCTTATATGGTCGCCGATGGAAGTGAGCCGCATCGTGTTACTTTATCGCAGAACACCTATGTCTGATGCACTATGTAGCTTAAGCCCTTGTATGTTCATCTTTTGCATTATGGTGATTCTCTTGAGCCTTATTAGCATCACGATCCAATGGATTTTCAGACTTTTCTCGGATAATAGCATCTGCTTGGCGTGGGTGAACATCGCAGAATTAACCGTTACATGGTTTTTCTCAATTTCTATTGCTGTAATGTATGGGACATCATTCCATGGACACTTACACCATAAGGTTTGCGTCAATGGTTATTTGTACGCAGATGCTGCCGATGAACTCAGAGCACCAAAGGAGCTTGCAATCACTGTCTTAGCTATGTACGTTATAATCATAGTGATCGCAATTGTGACGATTATAGTTTTCATCAACAAAAAAAGCCTCTCACCATCTAACCATTACCTCCCTTTGCCAAACAGTGACCCGAGTAAGCCTAACACAAACACCACTGAAACAAAGGATATCCAAAAGTTGGATCACAATGATAAAGATACGAAACCAATATCAGAATCAGACTCTAACTCTGTAGCTCAGAATTCAGGAACCAATCAAACGAAAGCCAAAAAAGAGTTTGGCCTTACTAAGAAACTTCTCTTTTCTTCACCGAGAAAAGATAAAAAATCAAGTCCTGCATCAAAACAGCCCAAAAATGCAGAAGATGATGAGGAAGATGATATTGATGATTGCGACAATTTGGAAAAGTTTCGTCAAAGTTTAAAAAATCGTTTTGGCAGTGCTCTATCTGGTCGTCGTCATACCGTTGCAAATGTAAGCCTTGGAACCAGTAGTTCTGATTTCCATTCAAAATCTACGGATGATTTACCAAGTTCCCATAAGGCATCTGGGTATAACTATGTCCGTAAATGGTCAGTGGATGTCACCGCATTAATGGCGCAATTAGAGGATCCAAAAACACATGGATGTGGAAGAACCGCTTTTCAAGAGCTTCAAATGTTGAAGCCAAATACTTCTGCAACAACTATTGATGAAGTAGGAGAGGAAGATACCAAAATAAATGGAAATGCAAAAAACGAAATACAAAAAGACAAGAAAAATTTATCAACATCATTTGATGAAAACCCTACTATCATTCCAGATAAAGAAGCAGCAAATGCTGTTTCAGCAAATGAAGAGCCTCCCCAAAAACCTAACCATTCTAAAGATATCAATGCCATACCCATCATTATTGTTGACGATGATAATGGTAATCAAGCACAAGAGCAGGTGGAGGGAAACAACATAATGGAAGAGCCATTAGAAAATAGTTTAACCTCCCAAAGTTCTGATGCTAACACTCCAGCAAAAGTCAGTAATGCCAAACTACATAAACAACAGACTTTATTATACCAGGGAAAAATACATTCTCTTAAAGCTTGCCTATGGTTAATAATCTTATTCTCAATATTTACTCTCCCGTATCTCATACTCCAGACAGTGCAGAGCCATCTATCCCTTTTAATGTATCTCAATACCACTTTATGTGTGGTGGCGTTTGCTGTCATACAAACAACATTCCATGCGATGGTGTTTGCTTACATGGATAAACTCATAAAGAAAGCTCTAAGGCGTCTGCAGCAAAAATCCGTCTGCTGTGATTTTGTGTTTACATGTAAAGCTCTTCAGATGCCACGTGTAGAGTCCATAAAAAGGAGGGGATCACGAAGCTCAAAGGGATCAAAGTCGGGAACTTCAAGGTCAGGGTCAAGGTCATCGAGGAATTCTAAAGCATCATCTAAAGTGGAAGTATAGATTACCTTTGTAATATTTTTCAAGGATCCCTTTCAAAATGTAACAAAGTGTTCACCTATCTACTAGAGCATTTGAAATGACATTTTCTTCATGGATGTTGCTTTTTAAATCAATAAAAAAAATTAAAGATCCTATCTCCATAGTGTAAAATGTAATGAAAATCATTTATATGAACAGCAGTTGAGAGTAATTGTTTGCAACCCATTCAATGCTGCTCCCTTTATTCATATAAAATTGTGAACTTGTATTAATTGTATTGCTCATATTTTCAAAAAGTAGCAAAGTGCAAGTTTTGAGAATGAAATTTAAAATTTATTCATGAGTACCACTTGCAACAATCTATTTTCAGCGAGTTTATAGGGGTTGATATACTGAAGTTATTAAATAATTCTATGTTATAAAGTATAAGGAAAGTTGAACAATAAGGTGGGGTGAGATGGATCACTTTAATATTAAGGTGGGATGAGTGGGATAATTTTAACATTAAGGTGGGATTAGTATGTCCACTAAGATGAGTTGGATCATTACAACATTTGACCTCTTTAACATTAAGGTGGGATAATTAGGATTGCTTTAACATTAAGATGGGACTAGTAAGACCCCTTTAAGAATTAAGGTGAGAATAAAATCACTTGAACATTAAGAAGGGAAACATATGATGACTTTAATATAAAAGCTTGATGAATAAGAGCGCTTTGATATTAAGGTAGGCCGAAATCATTGATACCTCTTTAAGCCCATGACATGAAACATGTCTAAGTTATATTAAACTATAAAAGTAATTTAATGGATCATGAAATACCAGGATGATCTGATTATCAATGATGATTTCTCATTTGTATTGAATAGCCTTGTGCATAGGGAACATTCCTTGTAATGGCCAATGTTGTTCCATGTATACAGGTATTTACATGTAAGTCAATGGGATTTGATTGTTTTGGTCCTCTTCCCAGGAATTTTTGTGAGGATTTTGTTATATTTTTAGTCCAAATGTTTTATAATTTAGAAGTTTTGCAGTGCAATATTTTAGGTTTTTGTGCAACATTTTAGGATATATATGTCTACTATTATATACGAGTATGTAATTTAAAGTCAAATGAATAAATGTTTTTCTTGTATGATAATTTTCTTGGGACCACCCATAAGCACAAAACAATAACAATATAGTACTTTCCATAGATAATAAACAAATTTGATTTAGTGCTGCCATCTTTAGATGAAAGTATACAATAAGTATCCTTAACAACAGACATTTTTAATATAACAATAATAATAAACTGATCTAGGGCTCTCTGACCTGCCATATTAATTCAATTATACCATAATGGATTTTTTATTTTTCCCGGCAAGCTATTAATTCTATTTTACAGCTCAAACTAATAATTGTTTTTACTTCCATTATCCAATATCGTGTTGATTTATATTTTATGATAACTGATTTATGAACTAGAAACTATTACTTAACCAATAATTTTTCATATCCAATATCCAAGAGTATTTCTTAATAAATATATCCATTTTTCATCTTTTACTCTTAAAGTGCAGTTATGCAGGGGTTTCACTAGAATTTCTCACAACAGGCTAAATAAATGAAAACAACAGGTGAAATTAATGGAAATTATGAATTTAACATGGAAAAGCTGAAAAGTCCCTAAAAACAACAACAGGCAATTTTGTGAAAACAACAAGTGAAAATTGCCAATTGCCTGCTGCTAATGAAATCCCTATGTTTGACACAGTATTTTTAATAAATATATCCATTTTTCATCTTGAACTCTTAAAGTACAGTTATGTATGATATAGTAGGAGTGTGTGCTATATATGTCATAATCATTTAATGCTCCAATATAAATTGTTATGAATCTGATATATAAATCAACTAGAAAATGCTGGGGCAAGTTGAACCAAAAGAAAAACTCTAACCGTTCCATCCCATCATTTGTCTACACTTTGATGTAAACTACATTTTGTTAAACTATTCTGGCTAAAACATTGGTATATATCTATCTATCTGAGAGACAAATAGGATGAGGGCTGAAAGTAGGGGAAACTGGGGCAAAGTGGCCATGTGACATAAGATGGCCTCACTGCATTTGGCTTCTTATAAAAACATAACTTGTTCAACTATTTTGATTTAAACTTAATGCTTCAAACAAAGTAGCGAACCAGGGTAGAGTATATGTAAAAAAATTAGATGAGACTATACTGCCACATATGGCCATCTTACCCCAAGCTCCCTTACTGCCCTGTTGACCATCTTGTATCAAGTGCTACATATACTTTGACCAGGTTTTTCAACAGATGGATGATGGGTAGACAATACCTTTAAAGATCAAATTTGTGTAAATATGGTTCACATGTATATTTTGTAAATTGTGTGTACAAATGGTGTTCATGTATATGCAGTGGCCATACTAAAAGGCATCATATGTAAATATAGCTATCTATTAAATTACCGTTATTATTATATAGCATGATAAATGTGGTTATTTGATGTAAAAGCTGATGCCTGTTCTGTTATTAATGTTATAATGGTATATGCATAAATTTCAAGAAAAGCTAATTTGTAAGAATTTTGTAGAAATTCATTGTTTTAACTATTTAAATTGGAGGATGTTTATTGTAATTTGAGATTGACATCAATCTCAATTATCTATGCTTTATAACAAAAAGAAAAATTTATACATAGACAATTTTTTTCATCATAAAGAAATTCATCAAAAATGGTTTACCTATTGACCACCATTTATGGCATTACAGGCTAGGCTGAACAAAATATTAAAGTGACAATATATCATGTATGTAACATGGAAGCATAAAGGCTTAACGTGTAGAAATGAAATCATGTCTGAGTTTCAGGAATTCCATATTTCATGACAATTGAGCTCCTGTGCATTTTTAATGTTCAGAAAATGTTCTGGTTGCCATGGTTACAAAAAACCCTGGTCTTTTGTGAAGATGTGATTTCCCATTAGGCAAGTCCGAGAGAGTATTTTTTTTGCCATAACAACCAATCTTTGCATGTCAGTGTAGTACTTTGTTTGCCATAGTGACCAAACTTCATGTTACTTCTATAAGCCCACAGTATGTTTGAAAAATATACAAGTATTTGAAATATGTGTATTACATGTAAATATTTCATAGAATATTGTACAGTCTTTGAGATTCAATTTGTGCAATTTTGATGTGAATAAACTAATATAAAGAAAAAGGGACTTGTCCTGTTCAAAAAGTGACACATCAAGTTCACAGTGAGTGTCTCTCAAACTGTGTGTTTAATAACTGCTATATTATTGATATTGACAAAATCCAAAATCAAAATCAATACCCCCTACCCCCTAGCTTAACCCCCCCCCCTCCCCCTATCCAATCACCTCATTCCCTCTCCTGTGCCAGACTAAATGGAGTAAGCTAATGATGTGCATCGCGATAGCCGCGCCCCCTTTGTCTTTTTCCTTCCAAACTCTCGCAAACGGCAGATAAGAGGGGCTCTGGCATACCAGAATGAATGATGTGCAGTACAGGAAAACCTGTAGTGGAACACCTCTATATGTAAAACACTTCCATAATTTTCCACTTTTTATTATTAAGAGTTACAAGACTACCTGACTTTTGTTAAATGAACCTCTATAAGGAGAACACCTCCCAAGTGAAACACCTTTTAGAGATACCAAAGGTGTTCCACTTATAGACAGGTTCTACTGTATAAAATATATAGCGATATGTGCTAATAGAATTCATCAAGTGATATAGGGGGATGCATGACTTCACTGAACACATACAACTTAATTAAGTTTGGATTTTAGAGGAAATTAGATCACAAATCATGTACAGAATAGGCATGATTAGCAAGCACTTCTGAATATAAAGATTTATCTAAAGCAATGTAGGTTTAATTAGTATGAATTACATCCCTTGATATGTCAAAGTGAAAGGCGAAGCTAATTTGTGATGTGAAAAAAATAAGACTGACATTTTAAATTCATCAGCCATCTTGAAAAGTCCTTGTTGACCATCTGTTCTATGTACCTAGGACATAAGTCCATAAAATTCAAGTTTGAAATTCGACTTGAGCAGAGCCTCCCAAAGGCATCAGCATATAGTATTTGAATTTTCAAATATAACATTTTTACAAAACCTTTAAAATTTAAGCCAAATCTGTCAACTCCTTTTTGAGTTATCAGCCAGACAGGCAGCCAAATAGAATTGATGGACATATAGCTGGACAAACAGACAGATGAACAGAGGGCTCCTCTATAACTATCAAACTTAATTTGGATGGATAATATAGTATGCGGGTAGGTACATACGATCATGCAATATCCATTTTCAAAAGCAAGAATACCAAACTAAAGCACAGAATTGGATACACATTGATCATAATAACTTGCAATAATCCCTAATATGGAGATCTCTACAGGGTTTCAATTTTTCCAGAAACAAATTCTGTTTGATGTTCATTGTTCTTACGCAATCAACTAAATTATGAAAATCTGCTTTAGGTCAATTGGGATTCTCATTGCATCTCTAGACTTTCCATACAATGCAAAATCCATATGAAGCAATCAATGATGCTGGAGTCCTGCAGTTTTAATTAAAAATAGATAATTCCAGATTATAGTCGTTAACAAAAGAGAATGATGTCTGTTTCATGCTTAGTTATACAAAATGTTTCTGTTAAACTGATGATGTATATGTTCACTTTATTCCTTGTTAATTCATGGCTTTATTGTTAACTCCGGTAATAATTATTGAGTGGAACACAACTGTAAGTGGAACACCTTTGTAAGTGAAACACCTCTGTAAGTGGAAAGTATTTGTAAGTGAAACACCTCTGTATGTGAAACACCTCTGTAAGTGAAACACATTTGTAAGTGAAACTACTTTATAAGTGGAACACCTCTGTATGTGGAACACCTCTGTATGTGAAACACCTCTGTAAGTGGAACACATTTGTAAGTGGAACTACTTTATTAGTGGAACACCTCTGTAAGTGGAACATATTTGAAAGTGAAACACCTCTGTTAGTGAACACCTCTACATGTGGAACACATTTGTAAGTGAAACACCTTTGTAAGTGAAACACCTCTGTTAGTGAACACCTCTACATGTGAAAACACATTTGTAAGTGAAACACCTTTGTAAGTGAAACACCTCTGTAAGTGAACACCTCTACATGTACAACACCTTTATAAGTGAAACACCTCTGTTAGTGAACACCTCTACATGTACAACACCTTTATAAGTGAAACACCTCTGTTAGTGAACACCTCTGTATGTGGGACACCTCTGTAAGTTGAACCCCTTTGTAAGTGGAACACTTATCAGAGTTCCATGACCAATTTACTTAATGTCAAATGAACATCTATGGTGGAACACCTCACAATTGGAACATTTTTTAGAAGTACCAAAGGTGTTTAACTCATACAGGATTGACTTGCATCGAATACAGTGTCTGTGACATGTGAATCACAGCTGTGCCATTTTACAGACCCTGCTGTCATTTTTGTATTATTAAAACAAGAAACGAGGACATCATGTTAGATCAGTAACATTAACAGCCAAGTGGGTGATATCAATGGCTCATGCAAGTGAGCTAATAATAAAATGGATGCTCTTTGTGGCCCATTACCCATCATATTACACCCACATTTGATCTGAAAATTACGATATTAAGGATATGTATTAACTCTTCAAAAAATGTGTTACCAATTTATGGTATCATTTTGCTTCTATCTTTAATATCAATATGATATTAAAGATGCAGTATACCATAGGTTTCCCTCCCAGACAATCAATGATGCCCCATTATAATTGCTTATATATCTTACATACCTTAGATCTACTTTGATACCTATCTATATATATTCTATTGAGGTGAATATATATTCAGTATATTTCCCGCAGCTCAATCGGTCAGTACAATTGCAAAATTAGCACTGTACAAGGGGGATTTGGGACTTTTTCGTTGATACGTAGATAGGTGAATATGTGGTTTAACTCAAAAAAGGCCAGAGGGTTTCGTTTGTGGTCTCATGTGGTGGCTTTTTAAGAAAAGGATTAATTTGATCAGAGAGCAACAGAAACAACATGTCACATTTCATTTGTGCAACCTAAGGCGAAAATAGTTTTTCTAATAATTGGGACATCGTCCAGGGACTCGTTTTTCTCCAAAAGGCTATTACGTTCTAACAATATTAATATCAAATAGTCAGTTTCCCATATGCCATTCAATTCAAATTGCAAATGATAGAATACAGAGGAAAATCATCAAGAATTAGTCAACTTTTTAAGCTCACAATTATTAACAAAGTACAGGGGTCTCACTAGAATTTCTCTTAGCAGGCTAAATAAATGAAAACAACAGGCAAAATTAATAGAAATCATAAATTTAACATAGAAAGTTGAAAAGTCCCTGAAAACAGGCCATTTTGTGAAAACAACCAGTGAATATTGCCTGTTGCCTTGCTGCTAATTAAACCCCTGCAGTAATACCTGTATATCCCAACACCTCTCACTTCTTGGTCCAAACTTTATTATCTACCATTGGCTCACATATTAGGAACCCTTGAAATGTGAACACCTTCTAATCTGAACACTTTGGCCAATGCCTATGTCATTCAGATTATACAGGTTTTACTGTACAGTGAAATCTATAAAGTGGAATATCTGTAAAAATGGAAAACCTCTGTTAGATGAACACTCCCAAGACCAACTGATTTAATGTTTAATGAAAAGTGAACATCGCCCAAGAGGTACCAAAGGTGTTCCACTTAAAAATGTTCCACTTAGATGTTCCACTTAGAAACATTCTACTGTATATAGAAATGCAAAAAGGTATATCCTAAAACTGTTGCACATTGTGAACAGAGCAAATTGAAAGGTAATTACCCTGATTTCATATATACACACTCAACTTTAACTATACTAATGATTTTGAATTTTCAAGTTAACATGGTCTAAAAAAATCTCAAATGTATCTTCATGACCTTTTATAGGCGTTAGAATATGAAATGGACATTAGTAATAATCTTTAGCAGACAATGCAATGTCATGATTTTCTAATTTAATATTCTGATTAGACATAAGCTACAACCAAATTCACAGTATATAAAGAGTATGGTGCCATACAGTGTTCACGGTACTGTATGGTACTGTTTAAGTCTACAGTACCAGACAGTCCCTTAACAAATATGGTACTGTATAGTAATGTTAGAGATTGGCTGTATTGGTCAATATCTCTGATAAAGAGCACAGATAAAATATTATTTTTAAAGGGTAATTTGTTGATCAATATCTCTGATAAAGAGCACAGATAAAATATTATTTTTAAAGGGTCATTTGTTGATCAATATCTCTGATAAAGAGCACAGATAAAATATTATTTTTAAAGGGTCATTTGTTGATCAATATCTCTAATAAAGAGCACAGATAAAATATCATTTTCAAAGGGTAATTTGTTATTGTAATCTACATGCAGTGAAGAATATCACAACCAGATACACAAGGCACAGTAGCATATATTACATATGAAGCGATGTATAGTACAATTACCTGTCTAATCTGAACACTTTTGGCCAGTCTAAGAGACATTTTTGTAGGTGTTTACATTTCAAGATTTAGTAACATGTAAATCAATGGGAAAAAATAAATTTTAGACCGAGAAAAAATGTTCACATTGAGAGGTTGTGATAAGAAAGGTGTTCGGATGTACAGGTTTCACTGTTTCTTGTCGCATTCTAAGAAAGACAAATCAGGATTAATTAACCTGAGACATGCTTAGTATTCTAGCCAACATGGGAATCAGCCATAAAACGAGATATATTATTGTTAGTATTCTATATTAAAAGCAGTCCTATGGCGTTATACAGGCTTTATAGACAATTAGCTTCCCTTGAAGACGACTCTCTGATCACGTTCATTCTATATCATTCAGTTTTAAAGTTTTTTTTTAAAAATGATGATTTTTGATGTTTTCAATTGTATTAAACAGACTTTTTGACAATTCATTCCTTGTGCATTCATACATGAGACATTATTGCATCATCTGGGAGAATATTGCTGAAAAGGAAGGACTGGTATTTCTCAATATGGAATCTTTCTGTTTCTCTAGACACATTGCTGAGAAGAAATGAGATGACGTGGTTTAAATGTGAACCCCCTTTGTTAGTTTTCAGATTCGCCCCTGCATATAATAGTTAATTATAACATGTTTACAATTGCATGTATAAATGACATATTGTGAAAAATAACATATTTAGATCTGCATGTATTGTATGACTTCTGTTTACTTTGACCAAAAGTCCTTGAAATAGAACAAAGCCTCCTTAATGAAAAATAAATGACGCTATTTGTCCTTAGGTTCTAACATACCATTGGAAAGGTGAGAGTGTCAGCCTTAATGATCAGGCCTACGTTCAGAGGTTTACTGGTCACAACATTGAAAATTAACCCTGGTTAGATCGGTCTTCAACACAAAAATGCTCTAGGAATTGCAAACCCTGTATCTTTTAACGACTATACCCGTTATACATTTGACAAATGATAGTTTAGGGAAACTTAGGCTTCTAGATTATGTCTTGCAGACCCCCTTCAAAGAGACCTCTCACTACTTGTTCACAGATTGCATGACAAATGCAAATACAAATATTGAATATCCTTGTACTTAGTGTTCATATTTATATTCTTGCAATATTTTCCTGCAAAATTAATATCTCAGGTCATTCTGTGCTTTAAAAAGTCAAAAGGGTAAGATATATCTTATAGTATATTTACTCTACAGGAAATAAATATTCTAAGAATAAAAAAATAAGGTGACAAGGAACAGCTTTACTATATTTTTAATAATATTTATTGAACTTTAATAAAGTTATTAATATAATTGTGAAACTTATTCTGTTGACATTTTGAGAAATATGACTCAACATGATCCGATGAAATAAATAAGGATTATTGAAACATTCCTGATAAAGATACAAATAACAAGAAATGAATAATCCCTGTCATGAAAATCTCACAACAGTCAAGTTTAAAATGTAAAATTGAGTGAAAAGTAGTAAAATTGAACAAGGAATGAAAACTGAATATGTGAAGTTGACACTCACAATTGAATAGAAATGTCAGAAAATCAGAAACTTTAATGAAATTATAATGAGAAATTACGTAAAATATAATGAGCAGACGGATATTTCAAAATGGAAGCAAATAGCAAATGAGAGTTTTCTTATTAACCTTGAACAGTCTAGAGCAGCGTGTGGAAGGTCATGAATAATTCCGTAATATAAGCTAATGTCAACTTGAATAAAAAGATATTTAGTTTAGACACATCAACAAATATGTTAAAAGAAGGCGAGAATTGGGATTTAGTTACAGTTTTTTGTATCTTTCAATAACTTTTTTAAGTTGATCTACTTAAACACTCCAGGTCTTCTTTGTCTGAGAATTATACCTAGTATAGAGAACTTCTCATGTTGATCTTTGTGCAAATATAAATATTTTGCTGATAGTTTAGCTAAATAATTTGCCATGTAAATATTACTCAGAAATGCAAGAAAATGAAAAATTTCTTATTGAGACTTCTATCAATTAGTTTTTTAACATAAATACTGTTCTTAACAAAAATAATCATTTTCACCCCCTTAAATATAAGACTAGCACACTAGCGCTGTGCATCAAAGTTTAACCATACTAAAATGATGTTCTGTGTAATTGTACATCGTGAATCCGTTTGACCATCCTAAAATTTTGTCTACACAAGACTGTTGTATATTGCGAGTTTGACCATAAAAATATCGACAGTTATTTGTCATTCTACTTCCTGAAAGTCACAGTGACATAGACTTGATAAGTTTACGAGATATTGGTGACCTCGTTCACTAGATTCACAAGAGAAACAAGACAAGATCCTTTACTTTATGAGGACAGCACACTTTAACATGCCCCTATTTCTCAATTACAGTATGTGAATTCCCTTAGGCAATCAAAGGTACACTCCCCAATATAAGTTCGACAACTGGGAATTTTCATTGGATAGGCTATCAATGTCTGAATCTTTTTTTTATTCCTTTATTTTCCAAAGTTCAGATTTTATGAATTTTTCAAAATCACCAAAAGTAAACATGCTGTGATAAGTGATCCTTAAGGGGGACTTTCAGTTAAAAAACTTATGGAGGGGAGTGTATCAAGAGAACTTTAGCCAGGCATAAAGCAGGTGAGGTGACTGTCTCTCTAATGACATTAAACAGATGATGTGTCAACAGGTCTGTAAATCAACCCAATGTACTGAACATTCTACAGGGAGCCAGTCGGATAGATCCGCCAAATTCAGACAGTTATATCTTGGATTGTGTTACTTTCTAACAATAAAGACAGGCATGTCTCATAGGTCTACACATTATCTCAAAAAAATAGACAATGATAATAAAATAAATTGGACTATTTGCCAATAAAGGAGCCATCAATACACTATTGCATTATCCTACAACATGGGTGTAGGGCTATATTTTGAGTTGGTACGCCCACTTGGGGATCTCTGATTTCATGGTCAAAGACCGCACATCATGGGGGTCCAGGGGTTCTGGGAAAGTTTTTCTAGAAGACGTTATTTGATGCAATCTGAGCATTTTTGTTAACTTGCTGGTTAAATATACAAAATACAGAATCATCAATAAATGTGCAAATAAATTAATGCATTTTAACACATTTTCAATTTTTTCAAATTCATTTGGTAGGCACGGGCGTACTGTGTGTAACAGGCTACAAGACTAGAGATCCCTACAAGCGTCTTAATGTAACAAGTATGAGATATGACGATTGGTTAAATTCATCACAAGAAAAAAAATTAAATGTAGAATAACTTCTCATAAATATGTTTGTTGTGCATAATAAAGATGTCACTACTAGACTGCAACTAATAGTTAAAAGAGAAGATTGTATGGAAGGAGAGCTCAAGGAAATATGGGTTAGGAATCACTAAATCAAGCTAGCCAAGGAATACTAGGTTGAGAGGTCTAGAGCACTGAACACGCTTAAAGCTGGGCACTGTTGCCCCAACCATGAAATTGTGAGTTTGAGATGCTTGAGCTCTTTGTGTTTATTCATTTATTTTCCCCATCCCTCGATTTTGAATCATCACCAAATAAAGTAGATATTCAGGATAAAACATAACACATATTTCGACTTGATCTATAGGAAACTACAATTATTTGGTGCTAGGTATAGTTGACTGGGTGTATGTTTGAAAAACAAGGTTGCTTGGGTTGCTTTGTGACTGAAGGGTTGTTTGGATGTTCAATATGTCTTGTTGTTTGGATGCATGTCTGCAATAAGTGTAGCAGTTTAAATGTGTATATTTATAATTTGTTTGGATGTATGTTAGAAATGTGTAAGTATGGTTGCCTGAGTATGTGTTTGATGTCAAACATGCTTTTAAATAATTAATTAACATATTGTCAAGGGAATTTAATTTTTTTATAATTCCATGTACATGGATGAGTGAATGTTTGTTTTAAATAATAGATGGACCTACTTGTCTTCCCCGAGAACGACACCAAATCCTACGTGGTCTACTCTTTGCCTCTTTCGGTCAAGGTATCCAACTTTTTCAGCTGCGGAGAAAATGATATCAAAATGTCCTCCCTAAAAGTAATAATAAACATGCTTAATATTTCTTGCATAGCAACTGTGATTTTAATATTCAATGATAGTGTATAGATACAAACAGTACAAAGAACACATTTACAATTGCAATCGTCATGTGCTGATTTTTTCTCCAGTTCTGGTGAGAACCCTGCATAACAACATATTACAGTGAAACCTGTTACATTCAAACACTACTGGGACCTGGCAGGTGCTCACATTAGAGGTTTTTCACAACAGATGGGACTTTAAACATGGTATGCAAAATGTAACAACCTATCATTTGTTACAGACGCCAACAGTCAAATGGTGAACACCAACCGCCGAACAAAGAGGACTTGAAATGGGACTTAAAAGTTGTTCATATTGAAAGATGTTCAGATTAAAGAAGAGATTAGCTATACAGGGAAAGCTATATTGTACTAATCCTCTCTCAAAAAATCGGAGCTGTGATATGTCGACATATAAAAAGGACACTGGGTTCTTATTCAGTGACAATACTGTAAAAATGCACAGCACCTGGCCGGAGTCAACCACATAGATTAACCAATCTCCCTTTTCATCCTTTAGACGCTGACGAATGGCAGCCATATCGGATGTGTCATAGGTAAAACCTCCGTCAGATTTCACAATCGTCAAGGGAACCTTGTAACCAGGACCCCACATGATTTTCCTTCCCTCATCTTCCTCGAGGAATCCTAGAAAAACAAAATGTGCAGTCCCCTCAAAGGATCAAAATTTTTTGTGTGAAGGATTTTTCAGCAGCACTTTTTTGTAATTTTAATTCAAACTTTAGAATTTTGTAATTTCAAGGGCAACACTCTAGGTCTTTGTAATTTTCAGGACTTTTGAAACTGATTTGGAGGCACATAAACTATTAGAGGCAAATCTGGATGGTATGAATTTAACTAAATGTGGTTCCACATGTTTCAATCTGATGAGAACTTAAAGCCCTCACAGCCAAAAAATGAAGAAAGGATGTGTCCGGGTATATGCCCTTTTGGTCCCTCAGTCAAATGTATGTTAAATATGTTTTTTATTACTGTCCTAGTTATATTTGATAAGTATATATACTTTTTCACGAGTCTTGATGCATAATTAACCCCCTGCTGAGAGTCAGAATAAGTATCTTAACAAAAAAATAAATAGTCATTATTATAGAAAAAACATCAATGGCAACATGTATGACATACAAAGAAGAAATAACTTAAGACCCATGAAGAATTTAAAAGAAAATCATATTTTTGAAATTTATTTAAGGATTAAAATTTTTTTCAAATTTTTGAATTTCCCGCCAGTTTAATTTGAAGGGAGAAAAACAAGATGGCTGCCATTTGATGTAAGAAATATCAGAAAAAAAGTCGCTTCACTTTTAGTTTTCACAATGAGCACAGTTTTCCGGTTTAGATTTTTTGACTGATTCTGACTCTTCATCACCAGGGTCATGTATAGAGATTATAAAATTGAAACCGTAATGTTGTGCTCAGCATGAATTTAACTGAAATATGTGCAACTTCACCAACACAATTGAAGTCTCAAAACTGGATGCTCAGTAACTTTGAGTGACTATAATCCCTTGATTACCCAGATAAACACCAATTCACTTATCGAGAAATACCATTCAATGTCTATACAAAGAAAGTAAGCAATGTTTTGGAGGATATGTTTCAAACCTTTTGCATAAATAATTCATTTAATATTTGCCATTGATTTTTTTTCAATTCTGACAAAGTGATATGCACTGTCTTTGATGCCAATATTCTTCATTAATTGTGATACAAATTGATATTTTTGTACTCTCAGAAGAAGGATAAGATATTGAAGTTTAATAATATGTGTGATTGAGTTGGTTTTTCAGACATTACTATTTTCAATATTTTCTAAGTCGATACCCAGACTCATTCCCAGACTCATCCTTTGGCTTGCAGTTCCATTCCAAATTGAATAAATAAAAATGCTTGAAAATTGACTACTTGTTTTATCTTATATATTGGTGTACTAAATGCAAATATGAAAGAAATATTTGTCAAGGGTGTCAACAATTGTACCTTTTGCAGTGAAGTCATTGACCATACTCTTCATCCTGTCTTGGTAGAAAGACTCTCCCCTCTCGACAAGGTTTTCAATGTTTAGACGTTCATAGATCTTCTGAAATTCTGAAATGAAGAATAGCAAGTGTTTAAATGGAAATTTCAAAAATCAACTTGTTCATATCCCCATGTTAAGTTTGAATGGCGCCAAAGAAAAAAAATATGAATAAAAATGCCAGTTACAGGAGACAACTATAAGGTTAACTTATTTCAAAATTTGGACACTCGATTGCAGAGGTCAGAATCTATGTCAAATCTAATTTCTTCCCTATATCGGCTCTCATATTTGGATGGTTTGTGCGTGGAAGGATTCAGTAGGAAATAATAATATAAGACTAAGGTTCCATTTCCAACACACCTTTTCTTGAAACATCACAAATGAGGTTCCAGGCTTTTGTCGTATTGGGTTCCTTGCTCTGCAGACTAACAACTGCCGCATACGCCCTCTTTTTGAATTCTTCATCAGAGTCGAAGCGCACCTTAGATTCCTGCATTTCCAAAAAGATTGACATTAATACTGACTCAGCAGTTCAGCTTTTTGAGGAATTTTAGATGGTTGAAACATGATTGCCCATGATTTAACAAATTGGATTTCAGTCATATTGGTCGTTGCAGTGGTTGCCCAATAGGCAACTGTTTTTCCAAGTTCATTGCCAAGAGTGAAAAGTGATTGCTATTGGCAGTCAGGCAAATGTGAGTTTCAAATCCTGATAGGGAGGCAATGTCATCCATTAAGGCAACTGCTGGACACTGTGGAAAATTCTAAACACACCCTATTGTTAAAAAATCCCATAAAATCAGATGTTTCAATCAAGTTTTTAAGAAAATAACCACAAACTGGGATTGAAAAGAAGTTGGAAAATTTATATATGTAAATTATATATTTATTAAACAAAATTGCTTCTGCTTTAGTCTCACCTTATAGAATGCTTGTAAATCGCTAATAGGTGGGGACACTGTTTTATAGTTTGGGAATTTCTCTACCAGGTGTGCTACTAGCATTCCAAACTGAGTACCCCAATCTCCTACATGGTTCAACTTTAACACATCATGTCCGACATACTCCACGAGTCGACTTATGCTTTCCCCAATAATGGTAGATCTATAAAATATATTATTAAAATGTGAATAAATAGTATTCTAAAGCATTTCGTATTCCATGATCCACGCAATATGACGAGGCTGCTTACAGGGGTCAATTTCAAATAACAGTACAGTGAAACATCTCTAGTAGTGAACACCTCGTTTGTGGAACACTTTGCAGAGGCCCAAGACCAACTGGCTTAATATTAAATGAACCTCTAAAAGTGGACACCTCTCTTTGTGGAACATTTTTCAGAGGCCCAAGACCAACTGGCTTAATATTAAATTGAACCTCTATAAGTGGAACACCTCCCAAGTGACATGAGACAAAAGTTCACAATTTTGAAGCTATTGCAAATAGTTACAAAAATATAAAAAATTGTTATACAGACACCTATCTCTGACCACCAGCCACAAAATTGAGGGGCTTTGACGTGTTATTTGACTGTTTCAGATATGATGTCTTCATAATGTTTTACCTTAGATGTCCTACGTGCATTTCCTTTGCAATATTGGGCGAAGACATATCGATAACGACACGTTTCTTGGCACCAACACTGGGAGGACGCACACCTTTGTTCAAGATGTCATTCAATTGTGACGCAACAAAGGATTTCTTCATATGAATGTTTATGAATCCAGGGCCTGCAATCTCAGTCTGAAAATAAAGTTTTAAAATCAGTAATGTTTCTATATAGAGCTAAAGTTCCTCAATTCTCTAACCTGAAATAGCATAATTATTAAGCTTTGACAACACCTGTTCTCAAGATGTCTGAATATGGTGTAGTACTTTCCATATTTCAAATGGATATTTACACACTATGGTAGAATATATCATCTGAAATCAAAACATTTAAATTACATGTAATATTTTCATCAACTTTTGTAACAGTACAGAACAACCTATTTTTTCCTCATACTCAACCCAAGGCTCCTTGCTGTTTCTCAGGAGATGTATGAATAGGTTCATGGAGATAAATCCTATATCCAAAGCCTCCTATTACATAACCCTTATATCATGTAACCAGCCAGCAATACCCTCATTCAAGGAAAAGACTAACCAAGGCAAGAAACATAAGCACGTTCATGAACTATTTCTGAACTATTCAAGAATATTCCATGAACAGATTCTTGAACTGGCAGGCATTATGCTCAAAAGAAAACTGTATTCACACCCTCTCCATATTCTCTCACATGGCTTTAAATCTAATGCCATGAGCTTTTACATCATCATACCCCCAAGGAGCAATGTGTCAGATCAAAATGTCAAAGAAAATTAATTTGTAATTATAAATGTGATATATAATCACAATACTCGTGATCGCAGTTGAATGGGTCTAATATGTCATTCTATTATGACTGACAAAATCACACCCATTTCTAATTAATTAGTTGGCTCAGACACAAATTCAAAACATCGTCACTTTTAATTAATACACCTATTATTGTTCCAGAACTATTGTATTGCATTGTATTGTTATTGTAAGTGCAAGCTGGGCATCTAAGAAATGAAACTTCTGGAACAGATTTTCAGGAAAGTTAGTTAGCAAAGTTGACAAGAATTTAACATGCAAAATGTTACCACCTGCCACTTAACTTGAAGATGATAGAATATAGTTCGGAGTAGGGATACTAGCGGTTACCGTTGGTTATTTGGTTTCCTGTATAAAAAAGCCTTTTCTCCTTTTCTGGCCCGTCGCAGCGCCATCTAGTGTTTGATAAATGAATCAAGGTTTATTCTCGATAGGGTAAGTACTAATCTATCAGGAAACATTTACAAGTTTGGTTAGAAACAGAATTTTTAGAGATGGCGGAGTGATTTTTGAGACTATGTAGAGCAGAATAATTTTCTGAAACAGGTAGCTTTACAGTGGTAGCTCTCTCCAGATTCAGTTATCTCAAAAACGGTGTGGTCACCGTATGCTTACTTTGTAACGGCAAGCTAGACAAGACTCCAATGAACACTGGGCACTGTTTCGCTGAGCTAGATCTGTGCCCATGAATATATTATGAAATGAAACGTTATAATGGTCCTCAATGGGATTTTTAACTGCAATCTTGACCCATATTGAAAAAAAATTGGTCAATTTGAAGCAAGTTGAAAAAAGACCCTTTTCTGACCTTAGAAAGGTCACTGAAGGTCAAATTTCAAATATAATGTCAGATTTGGATTTATGAAAACTTTTAGATGATTTTGAAAAAATTGAAGTCACTCTAAACAGTAATTTGTTACAGGCACCAACCACCAACCGCTGTCACAAAAAACGGAGACCATAACAATATGTCACCACTTTTTGGTGGCTTGTATCCGTCAAAATAAAATTACTCCCAGCCATCTTTTGGACTGCACACTAATCAAAATTATGCAATTGTATTAGTCAAGATGGAATTGTGGTATTCATGTATTACAAAATCTACAATGAGTTATTGATAGCCATATCAAAACATTTAGGAGCTCCAAACATGCCAAGGTATCAAAGTTTTCCAATTTTCCACAAGATGCTCTGAACATACCAAGGCATCAGAGTTTTCCAATTTTCCACAAGATGCTCTGAACATGCCCAGGCATCTGAGTTTTCCAATTTTCCACAAGATGCTACGAACATGCCAAGGCATCAAAGTTTTCCAATTTTTTACAAGATGTTCGGAACATGCCAAGGCATCAAAGTTTTCCAATTTTCCACAAGACATATGTAATTCAAATTATAAAACAACTGTTGACCAAGTCCAAGTCGTGCTATCACACCCATGCCGCCAAGTTCATTATCCATAGCAGCCAATTACATCAAGGGTGTTGACACAAGATATCTGTCAACTATGTCCAATTAATCATTGCGCTAATTTTCCCTTAAAATAAAACAACCCTAAGAAATACAATAATTGTATAAAAGAGAGGTGACATCGATCCTAAGTGATTTTGCTGATTATTTAAACTGTTCTTTATTCATCTTTTATAAAATGACTGCTTGAAAAATATTGAAAGAGAGAAAGTGGCAAAAAAAAGAATCAATCAGAATGAAACCTACTGAAAGGGCAGATATATATAAACATAAATAATGTTTGGCAAATGACCATTAGAGACTTCCAGCGCAACAGGACACTGAAAATTGAAAACTGCAATATCTACAAATAATTATAAAGACAGCGAAATTAAGATGAGATTTGAGATTTTGGCAATCATTTTTCTTTGCCAAATTACACAAGGGTGGTCTATGTTTGGATTTGGGAGTCTCGAAGCTAAGCCAGAATGTGACCCTCTACATACATCCTGCCTGGGCAGGTGCGGGAAGCCTGCCTTGTTAGACATCACAAAATATGTCTGCCAATGTGATGGTGAGTGTTTGTTGTTTAACGATTGCTGCCATGACTACAATGAAACATGTGGCCGCCATGGTGATAATTCCACATCAGATGCTTTAACAAAGTTAAGCGTTCGACACGAATGTATTCCTTTGAATTTAGCTGACTCTATCTTTGTCATAGCTGGATGCACTGAGGATTCACAGGATGATACGGACACTATCAACTCATGTCATAATCCAAATGAGACTGACATTCTAGACACAACGCCTGTGAATGACCAAGCAACTGGTCTCACATATAGAAACATTCATTGTGCACGATGTAACAAGGTAAATGACTTCAAATTCTGGAAGACGAAAGTGGCTTGCAGTGAGGACACTGATTTCCAAAAGGACAACATCTCAATTGAGGTCATGTCCATCGGATTGTTGGAGACGATTAACTGCAGAATAAACTATACGTTGGAGACCCACAAATCGAGACCATGTTACAGAGTTGTCGATCGCAACTATAAAGAAAGATGCAAAAGTAACGATTCAAACATCATTGAGAATAGGGTCTTATGTGAAACAGAGGGATATTTACCTGTTTTCAATTTTCCCGAACAGACAGTATATCCGAACAAGTACTGCGCATTATGTAATCAGGACTATGCGTATGAATGTGACCCATATACATATATGGAGTTACTGGCAGGCTATTCGTTCTTTTTCAATGAGTTTCCTGGCCTTTCCTATGACATCCTGATTGAAATTCAAACTGACGATACTTTAGCGATCAAAGGGCAAAACATCAAAGGTTCTCAAGTCCAGAGTGATAGTCTGACAACCATCTGTGACCGCAGGAAGTGTCGGATCCAGAAATGTCCCGAATTCTTCACGTTATATGACGGTCTGTGTAAGTACACAGAAAAAATTGCAAATGTTATTGTTAACATTTCTTTCGAAGTAGATGTTAACAGTTTAGATGGTCTTTTTGAAAAAGTTCAATCACTCGGTCACAGACAACCAATTGATACAATGGCAGATATTGTACCATTGTATCAGAACATTGAAAATCAATATTATAATGAAGTCAGCAGATACGAGTCAAACACCATGTACATAAGGTACGACTCCTTGTCTTCTTTTCTGATCAAAATAAAACAAACAAAAACTGATTCCGAAATCGAGGAAACGATTAAGGATTACATGATTCGTGGGAAAGCCTTTATGGAACTCATTACCAGTACAAATGTGACTCTCACCTGGTTCTTTGCTAACACTGGGGAAAATATGATCCCAAAATTCTTCAGCGTGAAATCTCAGGAAAATGGAGGAATGAATGGTACAGATGAAAGGAATGCGAATACAATATTAAGCCTTGATGATGATACAGTCAAAGGGACAAATGAGACGAGTGTGAGCATAACGAATACCCCAAAGATGAATACCACAAAGGCATCAGGCACAAACATTCATTATTTAAACCCTATTTATTCTGGGTTCAGTCTTTTCTGGTTGGCTGGGTGGACTATAACACTAACATTCATGTACTTTTGATTTCATGTGCACTTTGCACAGTGGAAATCAAGAATGTCTGTTTACAAAATTACTGAATTTTGATTTCTAAAATCAATTCAAAAATTTTGAAGCATTTGAAAGAAAGTTTTTTTTTACTTTCTAGGAATAAAATGTGAAATATAACAAAAAAAGAAGGATATACTATATACTAGTGTGTCCAATAAATAAGGTGAAAGATATTGTAACTTTCTTAATATTGCACCAGGCTTGATGGGCCTTGATGAAATTTTCAGAGTTTGTATCTTTCACCTTATTTATTGGACACCCTGTAGTATATGATTTCAAAAACTGATACTTGTGAAAGACTTGTAAACAGGAAGGAGATTCTTTCCCGAGTGAAATATACTTTGATTTGAATTTTGGAATTTGAATTTTATGGGTAAAAGACAAAGATGCTGTTTTTATAATGTGAAAGACAATTTGAGCATGGCTTTTATAATGTGAAGATGATTTGAGCAAAAATTATTGAAATTGATATTTTATTGACAAAATATGTATCAACTCTCTAATGTTATTATAAACCATACAAGAATTATAACAACAATCGTATGTCACCATTCTGAAATTGCTTAACAAGTTTAACAATTCGTTTGAGACACCAAAATGCCTATACCGAATCCCAGTAGTATAATAAAAAAACATTGTAACTGTAGTTATGTCATTACTTCCTCTTAGTGATATAAGTAATTCAATATTAAGACAAATAAGCTCTCGACTTTATCAGTGATCTCCTGAACATCAAAAACAGCAGAGTAATGTACTTTTTTGCTGAAACCTGAAAGTTTGTTTGCATCCAGCCAAGAGAATGAATAAAACATTAAGATATTACATTATGATAAATAAAACAGATGCATTTTAGTTGAGAAAAACATCAGGTCATTACTGAATATGAAAAATAATTTACCAATCAATTATCTATTGTTTTAGCATTCTTATACATGTACTAAACCTATACAAAATGTCACCATCTGTACAACACATCTTTGAGTAAGATACTGCAGAAAACAAAATGGAATAAATAAATAGATAAAATAAAGAACTGGTTACCTTTTCAATTAGGTCATTCTCAGGAAGGGAGTTGACAACATTTTGGGCAATTTCTCTTGGGTTTGTCTTCACACCCTGGCTCTTCAGTTGCTACAATTATAACACTTATTTTTAGAAAAAATATTGATACAAACTAATCCTTTGCCAAAAAAGGTTTCATGACCTCATATTAGGGGTTTCATTAACATACAGTCAAGAGTTTCATTACCATAATTCTAAGACATGTCATACAGTTACCATACTATTGTGTTCCATTACCCAATACCATATTATAATTATCATGGGTTTAATTACCATACTATCAATATTATATACACTATCAGAGCCTTCTCTTCCATGCTTTATTTTAGGAACAAGAATGTAAGCTATTGGCACTTTAAACAGATAAACAGACAAGAATCCTTCAACGACTCACCTGACTAAGCGTCATGGCGCTATTACACTGGTAATCACCAAAAGTGGGTTTGCCGCTGGGTGTGATCGCAGAAACTGGGTCACTGAGCATTGGGTATGCAGTCTGAATGGATCTGCCAAAAAGTTCGGTTAATGCCTCGATCAAGCTCAACATATTGTTTGACGATGGTTTACTCATCTTGGACATTTCAGCTTGTAAACTCTGCAAACAGATTCAAAATGTATATGTTTATGAAAAACGTATTATGAAATAATCAGTATTTTTTATCTGTTCATATGTGAAATTCAGAAAATAATTATGTAACTATTTCCGTATATGTAAATCACATTTAGTCCTTAACTATCTTTTAAGATTTTGATCACTCTATTTCGTATTTAAATGAAGGACTGCCTGTTAGAGAGGTCCCCATGATAATTTTACTTTATTTTGGGAGGTGTTGTCAATTAATTTTTATTCATCCATATTTTTCTATCAATATACCAGCAGTGTTCTTCTCAGTCTGGGAGGTGTTTTTCTCATTGAGCTTCAACTATGGGAGGTGTTTTTCTCATTGAGCTTCAACTAACATTATCTCGGAGGTCAATGGATCAGAATTTGGAAATGTTTTCAATTTACAAATGTGTTTGATTAAAAGGTTTTAATAAGGATTTGAAATCACATCTCTTTGACTACCAACAGCAATTAATTTTCACTCTGTAGCAATGTATTTTGAAAAACAAATTACATGCACATATCCAGGCCTATAGCCAAGGAGGGGAAGAGGGGGGGGGCAACCCTGGCAAAGAATTCATGCATTGTTCACCATTCTGATCATTTTTAGAGTGATTTTGAGCCAAAGTTGTCAAATGTTACCCTGCGCACAGAGTCTAGTTATAAATGAAGAAGCTCTCTTTTAAGAAGTGAAGTTGAACAAATGCAAAGGTACATCAAATGTGAACTTCCCTGGAATTTATTGAAAAAGAGAACACCTATTGGCATAAGCTGCTTAGTGCTTATGGGCCTGATGTCAGACAATGGAATGAATACAAATATGTTAAATTGTAGATATTATGTTTTGAACCTTAGTCAAGAACTCTGGTTTATTCTACAGATTGTTCCAGATAAACTTACCCGTTTTAGATGGTTCATCTGGTATTTCAACTTGGCATTTTCAGCTTGCAGAGCTTCCAACTCCGGAGTTATAGCACTGGTAGCCAGTAACTTCTCAGGGTCCTGGAGGTTGGCAACCTGTTTCTCAAGCAAGCCAATCATGGCCTCCTGTAAAAATAAGTTTTTTTGTTTAATACTTTTAGAATTCATTTATTTCTTTAGAACATTAAATTCAAAAGAACTCAGAGAAAAAATGTTTGAGGCCATCTTAATTCAAATTCAATTTTACCCGCCCCATACACATCCTGTTGAAAGTGCCAACCACCCGAGGCAACATGTTACTTCAATGCTAATCTATATTATATATATTACATGTATTATACTATACTATATTTGGTTGTTTTAAAATAGTGTATATGAGCAAGATAAGGCAACATGGGAGCACCAAAATCGGAATGTTATTCTGAACAATGTGATCAAAGCAGGCTGCAAAACTTCATAACCCCCCCCCTGCAAAAGAAATTCTGGGGATATCACTGCTAGAGAGATCCAGAAATATTGAATTCATAAGAATTGAAAACAAGTTAAAAAATAATTTGTACTGAGTAAAAAATTCTGAACATTGACCTGTGTTTTAGCATTTCATTTTTTTCATTCTTGGTAGGTGAGCAATTTTTTCAGTTTTATTTACAGAAAAGATGTCAGAAACATTTCACATTGCATTGCATTATGGTTCATGTTATAGCTTGATCCACCAGAAGTGCTACGATGTACTATTTATGGGACAAATTTAAATACTGGGACAAGTTGATCCTATTTTAATTTGCCGTGCTTGTTTAAGATAGTGTAAGAGTCAAACTTTAATAATTTGTAAAGTCAAATGGTTTTGTAAAACAAGGTTTATAAGTACACCAAATAAATTATTTTATGAATATATGTTGTATGAATTGTCCGCTTTTGGTGATTTTAATTTACACATTTGAATTGATGAATAATTAGAATTGAATTGATTTAAACAATATGTGAATTTCGAAAAAACACGGGAAAACATAATAATCTTTTAAGAAGTCAGATATTAAGTTTTCGCTCTGCTGTTTCAAGTTATGGTAGAAAACGTAAAATAAAATATGTAAAGATGGTGGCCATTTTTCAAAATGACCACCTTCATAAGACAGTGTGCCATGCTAATGAGAATGAACAAAATTGGTCTACCTCTTTTCCAGTTACATCAAAAATAGTACAAAAAATATAGCTTGTAACATCCACTATTTTAAAAGATGGCCGCCATTGTTTTTAAAACAATAATCACTTCTAAAACTTAATTCTATATATTAAAAATCAGCTTTCAAGCAAAATTTGTACTCACAAGGGTCATATATGTATGAAATATATTAGGCCAATGGTATCTAAGTTGTTGCCCAGATAGACATACCTAATGTACATACAAATGTATGGACAGATGATGGATGGATGGATGGACAAATTTCATTTAATAGGATTATTACATCAAATCATCTAGATAGCATGTGAAATAAAGATAAAAAAGTTTTGGATTAACAAAGTACTTAAAAATGAACTTATTTTTCTCAAATAAATCCTCAATTTATCTTAAAAACTTCCACTAACATCAGATTTTTGGGTATTTCACAATTTTAAGTGTGACTATCAATGTCACACCTGTTTACTTATTAAATATTCAATGCTATTTCACTTTTTTCAACTGGACTTTGCAGTTATAATTTTATTAAAATCAGTGATTAATATTATTCGAAAGAGCCACTAGGTTAACGCAAACAATATCAGAAGATTATGACTTTTTTCGGATCATCCTGAAAACAGGTCGGTGCATTTTTAAGATCCATATATAACATCAAAGAAGAGTGTATGTACACTTTTAGAGTACATTTGAAAACACATAAATCAGGTAAAAGTGCAGTGATGAATTTATCCATTAAATTATCAATTTAATGACTTTGCTCTGTGAAAGGTGAAAGATTCATGCAAGGCCAGGGTAAGTTAATTATCCTGTTCACATTCTAGTTTACTTTCAACTGCTGTGGGAATGAGACTTTTTCTCTTAGAAAACCAATGAGATATGATTTAGGATTTGTTTTCCCAGCATTAAGTCTGTAGACTATACTACAATTGTAAAAGTTTAGATAAGATAAACAGAAATTATTTCATTTGATTTTTCCATGGGCTTTCAACTAGAAGGGTAGGCAACTTCCCATATTTCATACATAAACATTGCCATGGGTTTTCAAAATTGGAGAATGTACACATTCCAAGAAAATCTTATTTTGTACTTTTTATTGATGATTAAAAGAAATAACTCAAAAATAAAAACATGATCTTCTACATACATCTTGATAATTTAATAAAAATTGGAATTCATCATAATTATGACAATACAGAAAGTGAACATTCTCCCACAAATTATGTTTTTATTGGAATGTGTTCTTGAATAATTACCCACAATGCAATACTCAAGAGAACATCTTGATAACTCTTATTCTTATTGGTCTCTTTTGTTTACTTTTATATGATATTGAATATATTTTATGCTTAAATCATATTAAAAAATTGATTTTTATTCAAAATAATACTAAAACATATACATTTATCTAATACTTTTTGAAATATTGCCATAAAAGGGGAAGCATGTCATTGCTCATTTTGAAGGTCTCATGTTATTACATAGAGTTGCATACCCTTCTAGTTGAAAGCCCATGATTTTTCATACTGCTTGAACACAGACAATAAGGGAAACATGTACATATATGGACATGTAATATTTTCTCTTAGAAAACCAATGAGATATGATTTAGGATTTGTTTTTTAATTCCCAGCATTAAGTCTGTAGACTATACTACAATTGTAAAAGTTTAGATAAGATAAACAGAAATTATTTCATTTGATTTTTCATACTGCTTGAACACAGACAATAAGGGAAACATGTACATATATGGACATGTAATATTTTCTCTTAGAAAACCAATGAGATATGATTTAGGATTTGTTTTTTAATTCCCAGCATTAAGTCTGTAGACTATACTACAATTGTAAAAGTTTAGATAAGATAAACAGAAATTATTTCATTTGATTTTTCATACTGCTTGAACACAGACAATAAGGGAAACATGTACATATATGGACATGTAATATTTTCTCTTAGAAAACCAATGAGATATGATTTAGGATAAAATAGTGGATGTTACAAGCTATATTTTTTGTACTATTTTTGATGTAACTGGAAAAGAGGTAGACCAATTTTGTTTAGGATTTGTTTTTTAATTCCCAGCATTAAGTCTGTAGACTATACTACAATTGTAAAAGTTTAGATAAGATAAACAAAAATTATTTCATGTGATTTTTCATACTGGTTGAACACAGACAATAAGGGAAACATGTACATATATGGATATGTAATATTCAAAATCAGTATCATCAAGTTTTACTTAATTTTTTTCATCAATTATGATACATGTACTTCAAAGACTTAGGGAAAAAGCACTATTCAGGATCAAAATCAGGAAACCACATAACTATTTTACTCTGGCCTAACTTGAACAGACAAAAACAAAATGATATCTAAAATTAAAGACAACAACAGATCAACATGAATAGAATACCAATGATATTTTTTGGAGTTTCAGCAATAAGTTTAGTATATACAGCTTCAATTGTTTTAGAAGGATTGCCTAGATATGGCAGGACGGGGACTTTCATCTCTCATTCCTTTAGAATAAGGACTATAAAACTCAACAAAACAGAGCTTTTAATGCACAAGAAGTTTCAAATCTCAAGACAGGTAGGGTCAATTATTAATCTCAAGGAGAGGTTTATTAGATTGGCTACAAAATTATTACATTTTCCTTTTATATTGATATATATTATGCAGGATTGCAGGTCCATAGCTTTCTCCATGGGGCAGGGGCGGATCTGGGAACCAACAAGGGGGGGGGGTCCAAATTTCAACTTATTAAATTAAAAAATTAAGGCCTTAAAAGGCCCATTCATAACCAAAAAAGCCTACTTTTTGGAGCCTTAAAGCCTTTTTGGCCCAAAATTTCAATTTTCAAAAATCTGGGGGATGAAATCTGACATTATTGTAGCCACTCAGTACCCACAGTATTATGACAGTACAGAACAAAGCTCACTCTGGGTAGGTTCTGTGTCAGAAAAAATTCAGGAGGATCTTAGGAGGACATTAGGACCCTTTATCTCACGCTGACCATATAATGTCTAAGAATTGGCTGATAATCTACCAGAGCCAGATTATTTCAACATCTTGAAGGCCAATAAACTCATTGATGGGGCATTTTTGGAAATCAGAGGAAATATGACTGGGTTACTAGTTGTGTCTGGAGTAAACCAGCGGATCAGGGCTTTAACATAACCACGGCCATGACAGGCCACAGAATATAATATAGCATTGTCACGGTCATATCAGGCTGTAACATTCCAACGGTCATGATAGCCCTTGCAATATAATACAGCATTGTCATGTTTATACCAGGCTTATGCAATAACACTACCACAGTCATGGCAGGATCCTTGCGCAACTTAAAAACACTTAATAACATGGCGACAGTTGTGCATAAGTCTTGCAAAAGATAGGGTCTCCAAAATAAAGTCCTTTGGAAGTGTATTATATTTTGCAGAGAGCCATACAAATGTGAATGTTGGTGTGTGTCTACTCTCTCTAGAACTTAGTCTATATATTCACAGTTCTTTAGGGGAATCAATAACTTTTATACCAGGTTGATTTGATACAAACAGATGTAAAACTTTTACAAAAATAAATTAAGGTGACATTTAAGTTAATCAAAAGTACAAAAACATGGGAGCCATATTTTTTTGATAAAGTCAGAAGATTTTGTATACTGTTTTCCTTGTATGTAAATGCATTTCCTGACTAAAGAGACACATAAAAGAAAACCTCACATTTAAACGCATTTTTCATAACTATGAATTGGAGGTGTATGGCTCCCAAAAGCTAGCATGAAGAGTGCGAAGTGAGGCTATTTTTTGAAAGTTTCAAGGAGTAGCCTTGCAACAGTCACACATTTGCAAGAATTCAAAATTTCTAGATATAGTCTTACCTTACCAAGGAACAACAAAGGAGCACGAAAATTTGTACTTCTTGCATTGTTAGAGTATAATAA